TTTAGAATGGGTGCGACGTTTCGAACACCACATTTTGCCTGAAAACTATTTCTAATTACGCCTCTTTACCATCTAGCGTATCTTCAATTGTCAGGGAATTTCATCATAATGTGTCTTGGAATCAGGGGAATTTCATTTTCTAAATGCTTTGGCAACCCCGCGCTAGGATCGTATTGTGATAGTCCAATACGCTAGCCTTATTCTCGTACATAAATAGTGAAAACTGTATCTTTTCAATGAAAAAATCGCATCTTATTCATGTTCTCTGTAGTAAACAAGCAACAATTTTTACATTGAAATACTTTTATTTTAACGAACATCAGTGGAAAATTGAGAGGGGATAGCGATCCGACTGCCGCACGATGGATCGAGTCAATCAGAGAGGTCGGATTTGAATTTTTTGCTAAAACTACAAATTTTGATGTTTATTTCGTCACTTTTCAAATTTTAAGAAGTCCTCCTAGAAGAGAATTTTACGAGAAAACTGCAATGAAACCAATTTTAGAACCTCAAAGTTCTATACAAATTGTTCAAATAAACGGAGTCATAAGCTTTTAAAGTTTCCAAAGTTTGTCCGACCTCTCCTATTGACTCGTTCCACTGTCACTGTGTGCCGCATTAACTTTTGGGCTTTTCAAAAGTGGGCTTGTCCGGGATTTCAGCTCGAAAAACACGCAATAAATCATCTCGTAATCTACTCACCTGTTACTCTCAAAATATTAAATAAAAAACACAAGGTTTAGTGACCCATCATGCTCGAGATGGCAACAACTATTCCGAGGTGGGCGAGATGCAGCTAGAACTCGGATATGCCACGGGGACCCTGTTCGGTGTTCGGTGGGTGCCGCACTCACTAGAGCATGGTTCCCTATCTCGTGCACGGACTGGTGCAAGTGCAACTGGGCTCGGATCAACCCTCTTCCACGAGGACGACGACATCCAGCATTCACGCTGTGCATAGGTGTTATGCATTCGAGTAAATACATGGAAAAAGCGAGCTAAGTTTTGCTCAGAAACAATCGGACGGCGTCGAAGAGAAAGGAACTAAGTAAAATTAGTTCTTGCCACAAATTGAGCAATTAACTTTTTTACATGAAAACAATTGTGCGGATTTTTGTGCAAATTCCAGTGAATTCTCTGCATAGTGCGAAGCAAATTCCTTAAAATTTTCAAAGGAACCCGCACAAATGTTCTCTTGTAAAAAATTAAACTGCCCGGTTAAATTTGGTAGTAGCTAATACGGCCTGGTTCTTCTCTGCTAAATACGGTCCAACTTGTATTCTGCTGTGCTAAGGAAGAGCGCCGTATGAACATTCGAGGGTTTCCCAATTTCCTCGAATAAAACACGTATTTTTGAGGAAAGTTATGCGTATTTTTCCTTGAAATTTTCAGATCTTTTCGATTAAATCGTGAAAAAAATTGATTGAAAATTTTAAGGAAAAACATTCACAATTTTCTCAGCGAATTACGTTTTTCTAGAGGGAAATATGGCAACGTCTGAAGGTTCATACGGCGTTCTTCCTTAGCATGGCAGTATTAGAGACCTCGTTTTTACCAGTTTGCCATTTTACCAGTTTGCCATTTTACCAGTTTTTACCATCATACCAGTTATGACCATTTTACCAGTTTTTACCATTTTACTAGTTTTCACCATACCAGTTTAGTTCCTCTAAACACTCTGTTTTGCGCTCCCCTTTCCTTGTTTCCTCGAGTCCCAGCATTCCCAACCAAATCCACTCCAATTCGCGGGAGAAGTCGCGGGCACGTCGACGAAACGTCAGGTTGACGTCGATGACGCAAGCTCGCGGCAGAATCAAAATATGTCTCTCTCGTCGGTTGTTACGGGGTTACGATCTGGATTTGCTCTGCTCCGTCTTTAATTACTCGCGCTTTTTACGACCCGAATCATAATCCTGCTGCAGGGCTTTTATCGCGCTACGCTTTGACCGGCCCGGGTCCCGCCGCCGGCAGTTCCCTCTGTTTACAAACACGCACGGATACCGCCCTGCCCGGCCAAACCTCGCAACTCTAAATGGAATCCTTGCGAGGATGCGTGGTTCTTCCTTATCTCGGTGGAATAGCGGAAAATCTGCGCGGCTTTGATTGTAAGACGCGCTTTTTTGCGAGCACTTATTCTGCCGTGCTGAGGAAAAACGCCGTATGAACTTTTGAGAGTTGCTAAATTTCCTTCCATAAAATGTTTATTTTTGAGGAAAGTTATGAATATTTTTCCGAGAAATTTTCAAGAACGTTAGGTAAAATTGTAAAAAAAAAATTATGTGAAAAATTGGACGAAAAATGTTCATAGTTCTCCCCGAAAATTCGTGATTTACCAACGGAAACTTGGAAACGCCTGAAGGTTCATAAGCCGTTTTTCCTTAGCACGACAGCATTGGAGTCCGCTTTCGGGTTCCGACAGCAGAGGCGTTTTCTGCATATCCATCGCTGAAGTCGAAAAATGCGTATCTTCGTTGAAATTTTCCGAATTCGCTTCTTACTTTTTATTTCCGCATGAAAACCTGAATAGGTAGCTCTTTAAATATTTCTGTAAATGGAAAAGTTGCGTCATTCAACACGAGAAAAAAATGAGGTAGGGGTCATGCTCCAATTGTTTGATGATATGGACATTTCCAATTGACTGTGATAGTACCCCAATAAATTAGGTTACTAACCCAAATGTTGCGGCGCTACCCCAACTTGAGTTGTGACTTCCCGCCATACTTAATTTTTCTTGTCAAACCGATTAGCGAAATTTCTTGAAAACTTCCTTGATATGTCTCCCATGTTAGCAGAATATTCAGTATGCATTTCAAGCTATATGTATAGTTTAGTTGTTCCTCATCGAAAAATAAAATAGGAGCTGATATTTTCAAACATCGCCATGGAGATACGTGGTTTCGCACTTTGATTATAGCTTTAATTGATACAGAAATAGGTTTTTCGATCAGTTTGAGTAACTCCTAAGTACCGCAATTGGACGTATTTATGCTGAAAGGAACTATGAGCATAGGGTTTACGTGAAACAAAGTTCCTATGGGCATAAACACGTTCATTTGAGATACCCGTTCTCGTAGTTTTCTCGTTGAAATAAGAATTCTTTAAAGTGCGATGAAGGAAACACAAACGCTTAGGCCCTTTGGAGGGAACAGGGACACGCTGTGTGCAAGATTGCAACATCGTGCTAAAAACCAGAACCTTTTTTTTTAAATATACCGTTTCGATGTTTATATGTATTCTATGTCACGATCCGGCAAATTCAGGTGTGAGAGTGGCACAGGGCGGCTCAGACCCCGCTAACAAATGATGTGTCCATCGGACTCATCCTTTTCCACCTGATAATTGATCATTCCCGCTATCAATGTGACCAGCTAGGTTGCCAAACCGTCCACTAAAATTCATTGTTTTTATTCTTTTCCCCTTAAAATTTGTATGCTATCCGCAGAATTTATCTGCGGAATGACTGGTGCCTCTTGCTGCGAAAACTCTTCCCACGGTTCGTGACTCTTCCAAAATTCCTCCCATCGAAAAAGAAAAATGATTTTTCGAATAATTTAAATATTTTTTTTCCGACATATCTTGCAATGAAAAGAAATTTCCTTATTCCACGTGACAACAGCCTTATTTTAGCAACTAAAGGCCGTTTCCACCCAAATAACACGAGGAAATCATTAAAAGACTAATGGCGGAACATAAGTACTAGTCAACACCGTGGTTGCCTGGTGATATGAGTCGGTTGTGCCCTCTTCGTAACAGAGCCTGCAAAATTGAATTATTTAATTTTTCTAAAGTTTGGCAACGTAGCCAACATCCACCGACTCATCAACCCCACCGCGCTTCCCAGCCAAGTGTTCCTGGTATGACTTGGCGAAAAATTGATTAGTCCACCTGACGAGGTTCCAAAAAGGAAACTATGCCGCTTTTTTAAACAAGTATCAAATCCCATCGGAGGAGTTCTGGGAAAAGAGGGAACAAGACACATCGGGTGCTGTTTACACTGTGCTTGTGCTAGCTTTTAATTATTCCGTTCATGCAAAATATTTGAGTTTTCTTATTGCTTACATGTATCGAATGATTAATACTAAGAGGGCTAACGCACATTGGTATTCCGCCTTCAATTTTCGAGATAGGCCAGCCAAGTTTCCCATGTAGCAATAATTTCGATAAAATTCTCGATCATTGTCTTGCGTTGTTCTAAAATCTTGCTGTGCGGACAATTTTGATGCCGGCCCTTTCTTTTCTATGATCATTAATAATAATTTTAAATGATAAAACATTAAAAATGATAAAACATTAAAAATTATAATTTGTTTTTCCATTCAAGTCTCGGGTCGATAATGGAGTACTATAAATTATTTAGTTTACTCATTGATACCAGTCCAAAAAGGAGTATTTATCACATATTTCGGGAGAACAATTGCCCAAAAATAGCAAGTGAAACCAGGGTTGTGTCGGTTTTAATTTTGCAGGTTATATTACGAAAAAAATCGGTCACAATTAGTGGCGCGGCGGGCTTTGAGATATATACACCGATCTACCATTTACCTATGGAAAAAGATCGATAAATAGAGTGTTCGAAACGAACACCTTAATAATCGATTCTTAACCGTATCTTCAAATGGGGAAATATCTATAATCGATCGTTCACGCCTTGCCACGGGTCGAAATTCCCGGTTTCTAATTCGATTTTCCGTCGTCGAATTGCTTATGAACGAACTAAACCGTTCAAAAGTTATTCTTTTGGGTATTAAAGAGTCTTTCTGATAGAAATCACAAAATCCGTTTTTTTTTTCGACTCATCATCGACAAAAATCGCTCGACTACAAATTCTACCCTCATTGAATAACTCCCCTATTCCTGTGAACTATGTAGTTTCCCAGCTATGCATTTCGATGAATGGTTATTCTTCTTCATTTATTTGAAGATTTCATATTATTTTCAGATTGAATGCTGCTGACGAGCTCTACCATGGGCCAGACAGAAAACAGCTTTCTTTGATCGACAAATAGCCTACCAATTTTTCATCATCCATTGAACCTTTCGATCAAATTGGTATATGGCGTCTGATTTGACGGAAACACCCTCTGAAGTGACATCAACGAACAACTGAATCGCTGGAATTAAGAGATAAGACACAAGGTAAGATTCATTGGGAAAAGAATTATTCTTCAGCTGGGTTTATATGTTTGTATAATTTAGCACGAGGACGTTAGAAGGGCTTGGAGGACAAGTGGAATACGTGCAGTTTTCGCTATTTTATGAAATGCGTGTTTGAAGTTTTGAAATAACATGGAGCCTTGAGACGAAAAGAAAAATTAAACTTTTTGAAGCTTTAAAAATGGGATTTTAGTTGTGAATTCTTCATAGAATATTTTTGGCTAAAATCATGAATATCCCAATTTTTTCAAAAACTGCACTTACCCCACTTGTCCTCCAAGCCCCTCACTAGAAGGTTGCCTGCTCAACCCGCAGATTGATGAACATTTCTCTTTTAACATAATTTTCCCATCGTAAACCAGAGTCCCTTTTTTCAAAGACGGTCGCAATACTAGAAAAACAACCTTGTGTGAAGTTGAATCGTGTATTTTGCTCTGCAATATCCATTTTTGAGTTTGCTCCAAGACGAGCTGCACAAGAATTCGCGATGCACGGAGCATGCATGGAGGGCCCCAAGATTCCTGAGTGTTAGCGAAGTTTTAGGGTGACAGCTCTTGATAGAAAGCTCCGCTCAGTGGGCTCGAAGCTCCTGGCAAACAAATCGCAACATATAACCAGTGGCGTGGCGTGCTTCCCGATTTATCGATGTATCTGCCATCTAAACCTATTGAAAAGGATCGATAAACAGGGCGTTTGCAACGAACACCATAAGAAGAATGAAATAATAATGAAGTGGAATTTTTTCACGGTTTCCACACTCGTAACTTCCCCATTCTGTGAAAATCCAAGCCAAGCTTTAAAACTTTGGAAATCCCCCAAAAATAACAAAACCTCAACTCCTTCTGGATTTTTGGATTGCTGATCGTTATTTTCTCGGAAATGTTAACTTTTCCGCAACTTCAGGGCTCTGTGTATGAAATTTCTTTGGAAAACTGTCAAAACTTAAAATTAATTTTTCATTTTTTTTAGAAAGTTTTGCAAATTGACAAGTTCGTGCATCACTGTCACTCACTCACCGACTACCAATCCATTCAAACGGATAGTATTCGATACATCAAACAAGCTGGATGGTATCCATATCAATTGGCTCAACATGTAAACATAGCCTTAATAGTCAATAATTGAGGAATTTGAGGGGACGGGCTCTTTGTGATAGAGTCTGGATAATCATGAGTGCAAAACGGCAATGAAAAGTGAATTGTTAGGAATTTTCTCATTTTCAGCTTTCCCAACTTAAATCCAAACATTTTTGTTCGAGGTTATGTTCTATCGTTCTGAACCAAACAATACATCGAATCACTATCGAATACGATCCATTCCGATCCTTCTCCGTGCAGTTTTTCCGCGCGGTCCCAGCTCGTCGCGGGAAACTCCCACCGTCCGTCA